ATTAGGATAAATGTAAAAAGTTACCATTAGCCAATTAAAAAAATTAATTATTTTTAAGAATCTTTATTTTTTATATAGATTATTTATAATTTTTTTATCAAAGAAAATTGTTTTAATAGACAATTGATACATTTATAAAAATATAATTTCAGGCACATTAATATGACAATTTTTCATTGATTTTTTGCTATTTCAGAAATATCTAATATTAACAGTCTGAAAATATGTTTTCTGAACTTATCTACTGGCATCACAGCTTATAAACTAATACCATATCAATTATGCCTATGACTGATAAAACAAAACATTTATATGCTGTGTTTTCAAAACATAATTTCGATACATGATTTAACAACACAAATACTGCTCACACTTTTACAAATTTATATCATCAATTTTTAAATTAATGAAATTTTTTAGTTACTCTTTATTTACAGAGTACTTTGAATCATTTTCATCATATAGACGTTTTATAAACATTAGAGTATTGATTTGGATATCTTAAAGTAAATATGATTGCGAGTGGTATTTGGGTCCCTTCAAAGATCTTAATGATAACTTAGCTTCAACAAGAGTATTATACTAAAATATCATCAGTAAAATTTATATGAAAACCATAAAAACGATATTTTTAACAAAATATAATATACAATTTAAACACGTAACTTAATTATGATATGAGAAAAAAATTGGTCATTTTATATAAAGTGGTGCTTGCAATAAGAGCGTAGCTAAAGAAAGTCCATAAATAATATAATTGTTCAACTGCACTTTTGAAGATGAATTACAAAGATCACCTTGACAAAAACACATATATACCTTTTTATAATTCCAAACCGTGTAAGCACACCTATCTTCTCCATCATCGGGTCCTCGTTGCAGACACATTCTTTGGGTTGCTTTGCCATATTCTGTAAAAAAAGTAATGCAGATTATTTGTATACTTACAAAAGACTTCAAAATCTTGCAAGTTTAATAATCAATACAAATATTATATGAGCCAACCAAGCTTACATTATATGAGTAAATTGGTTTTAACCTGATAGAACTTTAAAAACATCTTGTTTTATTAATTACTTATTAATTAAAAATACTCAAACTCGGGCATAACTGAGATAGTCATTTACCATCATCTTTGAAGCTGTTTCCACCTTCAAGAATTTTTCCACACCACCCGGAGGCACAAGGCACTGCTTCTACACCTTTTTCATCTTCGACTTGAGTGGCATTAAATGTAAAAGGATCTCTACAAGAGCCTAAATCTCCCCTGGATCGACATCGAAAGCAACGTTTAATAAGAGCTGAAAATAAATTATAAAATAATTTATCTACCAAATCAAATACAAAGGTTCAATTATTATAAAATATAAATCAACAAAGGAACAATAGAATTTTGGGGAAGTAAAAATTTGTTAGAAGATGTGCATTTGGTTTTGGACTTTTGAATATAAAACAAATTATAAATGCTTGAGAAACAAAATTTTTAGCATTTATATTTAAGCATTTTAAAACATAATACAATAAAAGAATAATAGAAGCTTGGGGAAATTGAAATGTGTTAGAAGAAGTGCATTTGGTTTTGTACTTCTAAATATGTATAAAACAAATTATAAATGCTTGAGAAACAAAAATTTAAGCATTATAAAACATAAATAAATAAAAGAATAATAGAAGCTTGTGGAAATTAAAATGTGTTAGAAGAAGTGCATTTGGTTGTGGACTTTTAAACATGTATAAAATAAGTTATAAATGCTTGAGAAACAAAAATTTAAACATTGTAATAGCTTTAAATATTTTTTTCTTTGCAATAATGCAAGTGAAAAAATGTCTGTAATAAATTTAAAAAAATGAGTATTTAAGTAAATAAATAATTTATCAAAGAGTTTTATTTAAAAATAAATTATTATTGAATGCAACTCATATATGTATGAGCATGAGATCCTCAAATATTTAATATAAAAAAAAGTTAAATTTAACAAAATTAGTAGTTTATTCATATTGTGATTGCTAGTGGGCATTTATAAATAATTAAATAAAGAAATAAATATAATAGTTCAAGAAACACACTTAAATTTAATGTTCTAAAGCTGTAATGCTGTATGAACTACTATATATTATTTTTTAAATTAAAGTTTTGACAGTTTTGTAAGTGAATGTAATAACTTTTTTATTCTGAAATAAATAAGAATAAAAATAAATATGACACTTTAAAGAATACTTTTACATATTAAAAAATCCTGGAATTTTGTATAATTTGTGATGTGATCACATAACATCGAAATGTCACGGAGATTTCGTCGGGCATAAGCTACAAACCTGAACTTTCATAAACTTTTAAATTGCAATTCTAAGTAAATAGTAATTAATAAATTATACAACTGCGCTTATATTTATAATATTTTATTGTTTAAACACCGAATAACCATTAAAAATTCTCTAAAAGTAATTCATTTAACATCGCCTCAATCATAATTCTCTATACTGCATAAAAATATTTTAATTACCTTCCGAATATCCGAAAGCACAAATAAAAATTCCTATTGATATAAATATATTATTTATATGCATTTTACAATATATTTTGTATATATATTTTTATACCAGCTGTTAAGTCTTAAAGAAAGAAAGCACAACATATAAGAATGCGAAGCGCATGACATTTGACGTATGACAGAAAGGTGCGCTTCTTGAATTGTGCAAGTGTTTATGTTTATTTATTTTCATTTCTTTAATTTTTGTGTATGTTTCGTTTAAATCAAAACGGGTGGATAGGTACATAAATTGAATCTGTAATTTTATATTGACGCAAAATATAAAAAAAAAAACAAATTATTAAATTTTTTCATTATTAATTTGTTTAGGGCCTTTCATGTGAAAGGCTGCAATTTGCCTTTCATGTGAAAAATAAATTCAAGGATTCATATAAAGATTCAATAATACAAAATTTACAGAGTGCTTTTATATACACCACTGTTCAAAAACTATTCAAAAATTTATATTTAATAAAGGGTAAGATCCAACGAGACAATTAATTCGATATTTGAAATTATACATCTAAATATTCTTATTTGATTCTCATTTGATTCTTATTTGATATAACAGTCATTGTTATGTAATCAAATAAACTAGTCAAATGAGTTTTATATATTTTAGACGTGATCATAATTTTTAACGAAACCAAACAAATAATTATAAAGTAGTGTAAGCATCACATCTCATTTTATACTCTTTTTATATGCGAGTTTAATAAACATGTTTTTAAGATTCCGTATTCTAAATTTGCGCTCCTGGCCATTGTGACAGTCTTGATTAATCTCAGTTGGTAGCACTTTATCCATTCTTAGGAGCATAGATAAAATAAAAGTGTGTATAGACACCATACTCTTGTTTTATCTATGACATTATCATTATCACAACTTGCTAACTTCAAATAAATACCAATACCAGTTAAATTTAAATTGCTTATGAAATAAAAAATTAAACGACATTTGTATTTAGAATCAGGATTGCTGTGCTAGCTAACAGGTGTAAGCTCATAAGAAAGAAAAAAAAATGTAATCTTTCAATTCAATTCAATTTTAATAGTGTATTTGATCAATTTTTTTACTACAGTAAAATATAAAAGCTGTTATAGTGGTGTTGAGCTAAAAACACTTCTTACTTCGCCAGCTTCAATTTTGGAATAAAGTATCTTTACTTTTTCACCCGTATGTGAAGACATTATTTAGTATATATACGCAATGACAAATATTATATTTATTTTAAAAATTAATACCTATAGGTTAAAAATATAATACCGATAGGTAATATATTTTTAACTTCCCGTAGGGAAAAAAATTGTAATCGAAAATAAAAATTTTTATATATCTTTATGTCTCAGAGGTTTCTCGCATTAGTTTTTGGCACAGGCAGGTCTAGCCGTTTCGATGATACGGAGCAAAAAGTGCCAAAAACGGTAACTCAGTTTTTAAGAAAACGGAGCGCTCCGATTTTATGCATTCAAAAAATATTTTACTTGTAGATGAACAACTGATTAAATTTTTGGGTCTAGCCAGTCGGTGATCTAGTAGTTTCGGAGATCTAATACAAAAAGTAAAAATAAATGCCATTTTGAGGTCAAAAATGATCATTAGACATGCGCACATGGAAATATCAGATATTTTATGGAGATTTTAGTATGTGTATCAATTTTGTTTACATTTCTATGGGTTTCGTAACATCGATATTGCGTCTCTATGCTGCAAAAGCAGTGCGATTGCTTTGAAGAAAAGTTCAAAATTTAAAAAATATTTCAAAGTAAAAAAATATATTTTTTTACAAAAGTTTTTTTTTCCAAAGAAGTCATTTTTTTTAATTTAAAATTTCTCAAAAATCTAATTTTTTCAAAGTTTAAAACAAATTTAATCCTTTTTAAAATATTTAATTTTTGGTACGGGAAGTTCCAACAATTTGCCTCAAGGCACGATGCCATACACCGCTAGTTTTATTATTATATAGTACAATATTATTGATTTCTTCAATTAAAGAAAAGCTATATATTCAAAATGAAATATTTGCAAAAAATACCGGTTGCGAATGATTCATTGTACTGCGCAACCAACCGACTAGATGGAGTACACATTATCGATCCAATAATTCCGTTTTTGCTTTTGACATTAACACAATGTCAGAAAGAAAATTGATAATATAAGGCGATAAGGAACAACAAATAATAAGATGAACTTTAAATTGTTAATGTGTTACAAGATTATAGAGATATAAACTAAACATGCCAAGAGACTTCGTAATGGTTCACTCAGATTTTACTGAGTGTAGTTACTCTATAAATATGTGTTTTTATCAATTATAAACATTAACATATAATTTCAAAACTATATATTATAAAATCGTTAGTTTAGTGATTCATGATTATTTGCTGTACGTCTGATGTTGTGCAAAACAAGTGGTTTAATAAATATGTTCGGAATCTATTAAAAAAGTACATCAATGTTATGATTAAAATTACTTAATCATTTTTATTTTATTTTGATTTGCGCAATACACTTATAAAATGGCACTTGGCCCTGGTTCTGCTTTAAAAACCACTTCTGTTTTGCAACAGCTTTTAGAGGAAATAAATTTTCAAAGAACTAAAGAAATGAGACAACTTTTAAAAGATGGTAATAATAGATCAGAAAATCAATGTAAATGTAAATGTGTAGCTAAAATATATATTTTTTTTCTGTTATAGATTCTGGATTTGTAATTTTGCAAGGCACAACTTATTGGACAGATTTATTTGTTCGTCATTTCTTATTCCAAACAGAGCAGCAAAATACCATTGATTGTGATGATTTACTATTTTTTGTTAGGAAAAAACATGTTAAAGGCACATCTAGGTGTCATCCTAAATTTGAGGTATATTTTTTATATTATATATACTATAATATTTAATAAATTCTTAATAAATTATTAAAGTTTACTTTTTTTATGACTATTTATTACAGACCGATGTAGATGTTTTTCGCAAAGATTCTCGAAAACTACCTATTGGTGATCCTGATATTGATTGGGAAGAAACTGTTTATTTAAACTTAGTCATTCATCAGTTTGATTATACTTTGACGCTTGCAATTTGTACTAGAACATCACCTAAGGAGTTACAAGTTCTGAAAAGACATTCTCAGAAGGTATACGGAACATCAATATTTGTATTTTTACACGAAGTCAGGAGCCATATAAATTTAATACATATTTTACATAGTAGATAAACTACAACTTATAAATTAATAAATATCTCATTACTCTTAGAATTTTTGTATTGTTTATATTATTGAATCTTGAATTTATAACACAATAGTAGAAAATTCCAAATATTGTTTCTTCAAATTTAGTTACTTATCTAACTTAACTTATGTAAGTTATTTATATTATTATATGTTATTTTACTATCGCATAAATATACAGTATGAAATTATATGCTCTATTTGAAAGGCTCTACTTATTATAGTAACTAAATTGAAAACATAAAAAACTGATAATACATAAATAACTCATTAATTTATCTTTTTGTTTGTAGGTTTATGCCTCACCCAGCAGACGTAAAATGGACACCAAAGGGGAAGGTGAAGAAATGACCTACCCACACATTTGTTTTATGGTTGATAATTTTGATGAAGTTTTCTGTGATATTCTTGTTCGTGATGGTGAAATGGTCTGTGTAGAATTAGTTGCTAGAGATAGAGATGGTTCTGTACAAGGTGTCATATTTCTTGGTTCAATCAGATATGATGCACTGAAGAAAGTGTATGATGCCAGAGTGAGTCAGATTTTTGCATTTATAATTATATCTTATTAGTGGCAGTAATATAATTTATTACATACTATAAAGTATGTTTCTATATACTTATAAAGTTATTGTGCCCATGAAAATTTAGATATTTATATCTATGTATATACTTTGTTTTATATGCTATTTTATGGATAGCATTTATAAAATATAGTTTTATCTTTATGATTTCAGCAATCTAGTCTTAGTACCAAAGTAGCGCAGCGTATGACATTTGGTCTATTTTCGAACTCGGCAACGCAACGTTGTGAATTTGTTCGAATGAAAGGTCCTCAGGGCAAAGGACATGCAGAGATGGCTGTCACAAAACCTCGGGGATCAGGAGTAGAAACACCCACTAGCGAACCCGGATTTTGTATAACTGATGGCTGGGATGAATGGGATGAGAATCCGGAAGAATTTTACAATTATAGACATCAGAGAAGGTGAACATACATTTTTAACTTTCCGAAGGAGAAGTTTATGTTTTCATCAAAAAATCGGAATTGCTAATTTTATGTCTTCTCGACGTTTCAAGCCATTCTGAATTGAATGAGACCAAATTTGGAAAAAGTATGTGTGTGTGTGTTTGTGTGTGCGTGTATGTGAACAGATTTTTTGCCGTAAATCGACGTTTTCTCGAAAACGGCTGGACCGATTTCAAACATTTAAAAGCCACTCGATGTATCTCGATGAGGACTATTGTTTGTCAGTTTTGTGCGACGATCGGCCAAGCCGTTTCTTTATAAATCGCAGAAAAGTGAAAAATTTTCGTCTACGTTTTAGCCCGCGGTAGATACCATAGTATTCTAGAATAAAATATTACGGCTCTACGACAACTGGTTTAGCTTTAAAAATTCGTCGAAGTTTGCAAACATTAGTATGGTCTTTTTGGCATTTGTCAAAATTAGAACTTTCATCGACGTTTGCTCAAAAACGCCTGAACCGATTTCAGAAATTTAAAAAGCATTTGATGTATCTCGATGAGGATTATCGTTTCTCAGTTTTGTGCAACGATTGGCCGAGCCGTTTCTTTGTAATTTGGAAAAAAGTGTTAAACCTTTCGTCCACATTTAAGCTCTTACTACCGAACCGATTTTAAAAAACAAAAACTGTTCGAAAGATATTAGTTGGGAATGATACTGATTAGTTTTAGGTGAAAATCTACCGAGCCGTTTTCTTGTGAATAACTGTTGAAAAAAAAATTTAGGCCGATTTTTATGGAACTTTTTTTGGCGATATATTTCATGGTCTTATAGAACTTACTGAATTATTACGGCCTTACGACAAGTAGTTTAATTTTGAAAATGCATCAAAGTTTGAGAAAATGAGTAGTTTTTTTTGACGTTTGTTAAAAGTAAAATTAGATGATTTAGTTGATATAACGATAGTGTACTTGGTCTTGAATATAGTAAACCATTAAAGTCCTACGGAAACTGGTTCAATTATAATTATTGATTAACTAAAATTATTGATTTTTGAAAATTTGCTTTTAGAAAATACTCCGAGTTAACGTGTTCGTTCGTTCGTTCGTTCGTTTGCAATGATGTGTAATAAATCCACTCGGAATACTCATAATCACTTATAAATTAATTAACTTTTTATTGATTAAGTCGATCATTGCACATTTCGGGAAGTTCATGTAACTTGCCTCAAGGCAAAATACCAATACCAACTAGTTTTACATAATGCTCAATCATACTTCATATCCCAGAATATGCTTGAATAAAAAACTTGTTTTTTATGTTATTTCAGGCTTAGTGACCCAAGCGCCAATCTTAATAACTTCACCCGCGGCGGGTGGAAAACTAAGCCGGACACAATCGGCTCTAAATGTCGGTCAGAAAATGAAGGACTCGACTCTCTTGAGAATGGGATGTCTGAAATAGAAGCTGGGGATTTACGAGATGGTATGTATTAAACCATAAATGTTTTATAATACTCTGTTTTTGGTTTGTTGTTGTGAATTTCTAAACATAAAAATTTGAGATTTTAAAACACATTGCAGTGAAATATACAAAGCATCTTGATTTACACATACAATAATGAGATTCTTATGTTATAATTTCTTTAATTCGTGTAATTTCAAGTTCTATTTAAACTAAAAAGACTAAAGTTCTTCTATCTTTAATTGGCGCTGTGCAAAAGCACCAAAAAGGTGGAAGCAGCCATTGCAATTTTGTTTATGTGTTTTCTTATGAAACCAGTTTTTCAGTCAATAAATCAACCGTCAAAGTTAAACATTTTTTAATTCACATCTCTTGAATAACATGGTTTTTTACCGGTTATATAAAAATCTTGCAAAGCTAAAGATAAGTTTTTTATGGCAAACTGTTTTTATGATTTAATATAAAATTTTTGTATGTCTATTTTACTATGTTCATTCATTATGCATGTACCTTGAAAATAAAAATTTTTAATGCTTGTCACTCCATCTTATTTGTCGCACCTTGACATGTTTATTGGCGGAGGAAGCAGGCAGACATCGAAATCAAAAACTAATTGGCTAGTTACGTACAGTTATTTTATCGATATCAGTTCTAGAATAGTTATTGAAGTGGAGTGTTCTATTTATTTTTAATTGGTGCATTGTCACAGATTTTAATTCGATTCTAGGTTATTAATAAACTTTACTTATTATATTTTTTTTTATTAAAATATTATTTTTACACTTCTAAAATAAGTAGTGGAATTTTAATTTTAATTAATACAGGATTCAATATCATACAAATGTTTACCTAGTTTTTTAAGTACCTATATGTATATATAATTGATAAATTTGTGGTTTATTGCAATATTTTATACGTATATATCGAGAGATATCGTTACTTTATTTGTTTGAATCTCTACTGGAATGACTGGTGATAACACAATTTATTGACTAATTATCTTTTTCTAATAAATACTGACGAACTGGCCACACTTACACACAAGCATTATTATCGCGTTTTATTTTCAATGTAAAATGTAGTTATTTAAATATTATCTTTTGACCAAATATTTTTGATCTGTTTGCAGATCAATCTGCTTCCTCCGCCGGCGATAATGTCGAGAAAGAGACCGCTTGTTGTTGTTGGCGCAACGGGGTTAATACTAAAGAATCCAATAGTTGCGTTAAATCCGCATCTGTTGACATGAGCGAAGTATATTGCCGTGTTTGTGACGAACAAAATCTCGACTCTCCCGCTTGTCTTGCCAATGTGACACCTAAAAAGTCACGAAAACCACCCGTTCAGCCTACATTGCTCAAGAACGAGAGCGTATTAGAAGTTCCAGGCAAAAATGGAAATAAGTTGACAGATATGGTGAATAGTAAACCAAAAGAAGAAGAGAGGAAACGCCGTGCTTCTTTTGTCGATAAAAGAAAATCGGAAAATATAGAATTTGAAATTGCTGATGATGCGTCATCTTTAAATGACCAAGATACCGATCTCAGCAAGCCGACTAAACTGGGTAATATTGAAGACAATGACCCAGCGCTGGTAATGGTTAATGGCACTGAAGAATTACCATCCGTCGAAGTGACAACACGCCAGAAGACTGCAGCGAAAGCTACTGTAAATACCAAACCTATGAATAGTGTTAAGAATAAAGAAGCCAAAAAGACTGATCAAAGTAACAAAAATGTTTGGAGTCGCTTGAGTGCACAGAAGAAGAATAATAATGTATCACGTACGACAAAGAGCGCTCCCAAGCGCGAGGTCGCTAAACCCGCTCCAAAAATAGTACAAAAAGATAAAAAGTCTGTTAAACCTATTGTTAGTATGATGAAACAAATTAATATTAAGGATTCAAATAAAACGTCCGCTAGAAAACCGGTAGGAAAAAAATCAAAAGATCTTGAAACTAAAATCGTACCAAATCAATCAAAAGTTGCAGAAATCGAAAAAACTACGGATATCGAAAATAATATTATATCAAACGAAACTCCAGATCCTATCGACGATGTAACAGATAATAATGGAATCGAAAAAGCACCATCTAACACTAATATGATTGTACCATCTAGCACTGATTTGATTTTGGAAGAACCTGACATACATTGTCCCAATTCCAATGGCCTATCTGAAGAAACAAGAGAAGATCTTGCAGCAGTAAACAGCAATTGTAACAGCGAAAACTTAGCAACGTTGCCGTCCATTATTAATGAAAAAATTGACAATAGCCGTGGTTACGAAATGGTTGATGAAATGACGCGTTTTAAGAGAAATTTTGATCATACGGCATCACATATCACGACAGTAAAAGTAGGCGATCGAACTTACTGCACTTTGCCTAAACGTAAAAGAGATTCAGTACATCACAGCATGTGGTATAGAGAGACTGTTAGAGTTCCAATGAGAACTACACCAGATGGGACTGATATTTATTACTGGTGCGATATATCAAAGGAACAAGATAAAAATGGTAAAAATTTATATTTTGGTATAATTGTTATCTGTAAAAGTAGCTGAATGTAAATATATAAACTATTTGTTTATTAAGATTAGTAAAGCGTTAATGGTCAAGATAAAATAGGTGATTTGAATAATGGATTTTCCTTGCAGAACTGGACGACGGAGCACACAACCCATTGTGGGCTATGCGAGGTTTCACTCAGACTTTCCATTTTTGGAAAGAGAACAGACGACAACAATCTACACCTCTGAACGCCTTTTTAACGTATGTTACGCTACCTTGGTGGAGCATAGCTAAAGGTGGGAAGAATTTTAAATACGAAAAAATATTGTTAAATTAGATTTTGCTTCTTCCCATTGTGGTTCTTACTTTTTTTTGTTTGACCGATAAATCGTGTTAAAAATTGATATCAAACGTATTTTATCACGCATTTTACTCAAGGGGTCATTCTGGTTTAGAGGCATATGCTTCATATGAATTTTATGCGATTTTTGAAAAGCTGTAAAAAATGTTTTTACTATATTTTTTGTTACACATAATTGATTAATGTTTTGAGACTCGAACATACTCATGATTTAGGCCCTCAAAATAATCCGAAGAAAATTATGTATAAATTAATAATTTAGAATATAGGTGCTATTATATGAACTATGGACAAGTTAAAATCTGTTTTTTCATAATATAGCAACTGCCTGGAAACAAATTACAACTTTTTTTTAAACTCTCGATTTTTTTAAAAAATCGAAATTTCGAGGGTGAGCGTAGTTTACAAATAAAGAAAACTCTATAAAAATTTTGAGTAATCCGGTCCAGTAGAAGTTGAAAAATCGTGGGTATCGCATCGGGAAAGACCGTTTCGAGAAAAACCCTTTTAAAGTTTCGCGGAGAAAGGAAACAAAGTAAGATGATCGTGGTCTTCGAAAATAATTTGAATGATGAAAACTCCTATTCTTGAATGGTTAATCTTTTTTTTTTTAATTATAGATCAGAATACTTCGTTAACATTATATTTTTAAGTTTATTTTTATAATGTTATGTTATGTTAAATTTATAAAATATATTTTATCTATCTATGCTTTCAGATATACTGGATAATCGCGAAGGACCCATTCTAACATTCTAAGCAACTTGATAAACGTTTTACTGCGATGACTAATTGTAAGAGAATTTATAAAAAATATTCATAAAATATATGTAGCTGTGTACTTTAAAGTTTGGGTCAATACTGCCAAGACCTTTAATCAGATCATATTAATTTACGATGTTGTGAAGTGTGATTTTTATTAAGAGTGTTAGAAGCTAGTCCATATTTATATTTTTAATAAAAACCAAAAAATATCATTCCAAAATAATAATTCCAAATCGAATTTTAAATGTTTAAGTTTATAGTTACATACCGTTAGGTAATAATTATATGTGATATTTGCTTTTATTTACTTCTATGATGCCGATATGTTGCGCTTTATATCAGTTATATAAATTAGTACATACCTTATGAGACTATGATATTATTAGCGTATTTTAGATTATTTAATGAATTTTTACTCTAAGAAATATCGTGTATTAAACGATAGAGTTGCATAAATTTAATCTTATCTCCGCATTTTTATTATTTTTATGACTATCAATGGACAACGCATATGAATTGTGTTAATGTTAATTATGTATCGAAGTCAAATTTATTAAAATTGATATTTATTAAATACTGTTTCTATTAATTGTGTATACATTCTTATCTTCCTTAAGGTTATCGTGTTAAGAGGTCATAGGTTAGTTCATGTATGTGTCTCTTTTTGACTCATAATGCACAGGCTTGAAAATAGAGATGCAAAAATTTCGTCGTATTAGATGCTGTGTGGGCTCCTTGGCTTTTGGAGACAAATACGGATATATTCTCACATATTTATGAATCAGTTGATTTATGTGTTTAGTTTGGTGATGTGTTATATGATATAAGGATTACGTAAATAACAGGTAAGAATAATATATTTTTAGATAAAGAAGTAATTGATTTCTAAATTAGAAATCAATTACTTCCAATTCTAATAGTTTCTAACGAAAAAAGTTTGTTACTGATTTATAGTTATATTCTGGTTATTTGTGCATCCTCTGTTTATTAAAATAATAAATTTTAAATAATGGTTATTTACAGTCCCTTTCTGCTAAAACTTGTATAGAAACTGTTTTAGAATCTGATACAACTTCAATTCAAATTACTGAATTTTGACCAATACTTTTGAAAATATTTTTTCTAGGATACTTATACATATTCTGTAAAGTGTCCAAAATGGTAAATACAGTATTTTGTTACCGCTTCCTTGCGATTGCGTCATTACAAACACTTCTACTGTTTTGTAATATTGTTTCTTCACTGTTTTCTTATAAATTTGATAGCCTATTTGAACATAATTTTTCAAAGGCTTAAAACTATTTGATTGAAATTGGATCATCTTTACGCTTTACGTATCAAAATTGTTTTGAATTTTCTTTCGTTAAACAATTTGCAACTGTTTGAATTAATTAAGTTGTTCGTGTGTTTGAATTTTTAAATTCATAAATATATGACATGCTGGTTACATTTAAAACAATGAACCCACATAACATTAATTAACAAACGCCGTATATGTAGGTTTAACATAAATAAGAGATTTGGATCAAGGTCTATAAGTAGTGCAAAGTATCATCATTTTTGTGCATTCATTTTTGAAACCGGTGTGTAGTGGTAATGTTTGTTTATAGGTTCTATTTTATCTACACCTTTGAACTGAGAATAAGAACTTTATTATAAACGAACACTACATGTTTTATACAATTTTGAATTGCATTACCATATAAATTACGAAATAAAAATCACGTGGTCATTAAAATCAGTGTTTTTAATACTTGATCTCGATTTTACCTGTCTTGTTTTTTAGGCGGCATAGGTAAAAATCGTTAATTTGCTAGTAAAATTTGTTTAGTTTCTTCAAATGTTTTCATTTTTTCAAGATGGAGATTGGAGTCTGCAAGATTCTAACCATTCTATTCTTGGTTAGTTGTGCGACTTGTTGCGTCCGCAAGCCGCCTGGTTACCTGCACCATCAGACGCGCAATCCTGGGGATAATGGCTACAGCATCACTGTTCAAAAAACTAAGTCATATCTCGAGACCGACAAATATGTTCCAGGCACCGCCTATACCAGTAAATATCTGTTACTATATATCATATATTTAATTGTTGATTGATATATTTTTCGTTCATTTGAATTGGTCTTAATGGATATGCAAATACCATTGTACGAATCGAATGAATTAATTGACATAGAACAATATGCCAAAGACCTTACATATAATTTATGTAGATTAATTTGATTGTTTCATTTGATCGTTGTTAAAGAAATTAATTTGTGTTACATAAGGATGATTTTGTGCTTTTCATAAAAAAATAATTAAATCTTTTTAACGTTCAAATGTATAATTTAAAATTTCAGTAACCCTTGCCGGATCAAGAACATTTAACAATTTGCAACAATTCACACATTTTATGTTAGCAATAGAGCCAGAAATTCTTAAAGATGCTGATGCCGCTGATTTGAGTCCACAAAGGTAATAGATTTTTTTTTTAATAAGCGATTTTTTTATTTTTTATTTTAAAAAAAGTTAATATGAAGAAAATGTTTAACTGAACGGTTCATTTTTTTAATAAACTTTTAATTTATTCAAAATATTTAAATTTAGTTCATTATATTTGGTTTGTTTGGCGATTTGATTCATAATCAAAAGCTTGATGATTGCTTTTGAGTGATTTTTTTATGTTTTTGATTTTGGACTAGATTGATCAGTCGGAAGTCTATCGCTTTAAAATTTATCAGTATATGATATTTATACGGAAAATAACTTCATTGTGGCATTAGTAAATTATTTCTCCTTTGCTGATGTTATTCTCTATTTAATAAAAAGTTTCAAAGCTTAACTAGTAGTGCCTTATCGTGCCTTAAAACAAATTGTTGGAACTTTCAGTACCGTGATTAAACACAAAAAAATGTGTACACATTATTAAAATCTCTATAAAATATCTAATAATTTGATGTACATATGTTCAATAAACATTTTTGACCGCAAAATGACATTTTTATTGAGAGTCCATAGCCGCTGGACCTGCATTCCCAAAAGTTTAATCAGTTCTTTATCTTGTCAATGCAAGTACCTGTCCAATACTTGTACAAGTAGCGTCCAATTTTGATAATTCAAAAAAGATTTTACGTAAAATTTTTTGAATTATCAAAATTGGTCGCTCCGTTCTCTTAAAAACTGAGTAACCGTTTTTTACATCTTTTGTCCGTATCTAAACTAATCGGCATGTCTCCTTATCAATACGAATCGAATGTTTTCTGAATTATTCAAACCGGTTGATCGGTGTACCCGAAATCGTCGACGAACATTTGTATCCGCACACACATACATCCAATTTTCTAAGGAATGCCCAAATGTTCAAAAATCTTTGAAACTTATAAAGATATATAAAAATTTTCATTTTCGATTTTATTGAGATTACTATAACTTACCCTACGGGAAGTTAATTATTAGATTGCCTTAAAATAATTTGTTTCTGTTATCAGGCTTGGTCAATTTGTACTCTTCCCTGATGCTCTTGCACAATACAAAGAAGACTGCGTTAATACCGTTGTTGAAGCAAATTCATTACCCAAAAGCGAAGTCAAGGTAATGTGGATGTCACCGCCCTCCGGTTCTGGATGTGTGGTTTTCAGGTAAAATTAGTATGCACTAACATAATGATTAATAAATTTATAAAGTTATTAATTTCATACTAGGGCTATGGTCATGGAAGACCAATCTAGATGGTGGTCTGATGACGGCTCATTGAGCTTCAAAATGTGCGAAGAAGATGATGACAATAGATTACCGGTAGTCAAAAGTGAATGCTGTGCTTGCGATGATGCTAAATATCGAGTAAGTAAAAAAAATCACTTTGATTTGATTAGTTTCAACTTTCAGTTTTAGAACGTATAGAAAAAATAATCTTAATTCAAAATAATTCATACTGGGTAATAATAACTATCATTTGTAGTATGTTTTCAAGATATCAAAATTATAGTTTATAGTTTGATTAATTTATATTTCGATAATTTAGCGTAATGAAAATTTTCAGAAACGTTTACCTTAATAAGTATTTTATTAATAAGCTTCAATTTTTTATTTGAAGTAATTAATAAAGCAATACATTCAATTGAAACATAAAATAAACTAGTTGGTATTGGTATTTTGCCTTGCGGCAACAAGTTACACGAATTTCCCGATATGTGTAAATAATCGACTTAATCAATAAAAAATAAATTAATTTATGAGTGATTAAAAGTATTTCGAGTGGATTTATTACACATAATTGAATACGAACGAACACGTTAACTCGGTATATTTTCTAGAAGAAAATTTTCAAAAATTAACCATTTTTATAATTGATGAACCAGTTTCCGTAGGACTTTAATGGTTTAGTATGTTTATTAAGACCAAGTACTCTATCGCCGTAGCAAGTAAATCGTTTATTTTTAATTTTAACAAATATAAAAAAAACTACTCAAACTTCGATGAATTTTTAAAATTAAACTACTTGTCGTAAGGCCGTATTATTTCTGTAAGTTCTATAAGTTCTATATATCGCGAAAAGAAGTTCCATAAAAATCGGCTTAATTTTTTTTTTTCAACTGTTAATTACAAGAAAACGGCTCGGTAGATTTTCACCTAAAACTAATCAGTACCATTCCCAACTAATATCTTTCGAACAGTTTTTGATTTTTTAAAATCGATTTGGTAGTATGAGCTTAAATGTGAACGAAAAGTTTAACACTTTTTTCCAAATTACAAAGAAACGGCTCGGCCTAATATATTTTTCGTTTATATGTGTATATTTCAATACAAGGTTATTAGTCCATAATTCAACCGTAGATTTTAAAATAGACCATTTAGTATGATGGCATTAAATAGATTATTTTTCCAATGATGACATTACAATGGTTTCATAGCCTAGCATGGAACACTATTTAATCCAATGAGTTTTATTACGTGACATTAACTGATACATTTGCAATATATATATATATATATATATATATATATATATATATATATATTTGCAAATCTTCAAATATATAATATGTTTTGATTTAATATAAAACCAGGATTTGGTTACCGTGACAAATCGAAATGATATGAGCCCTACTAATATTT